GCTCGCTCGCTCGCTCTCATGAATCGAAGGATTCGGTGTCCAAACCCTGAGCCGTCTACCTCACGGATCGAGGAGCGGCTCCACCGCTTCCTGAAGCCCGGCGCGCTTGCCCGCCTCCGGGACTCGAGGATCAGCAGTGCCAGACCGGGCCTTTCCGTCGCCCTACTCCGCCTCTCGTCCCCCTCGTCCCGTTCTCCGGCCGCGCCGCGACCCGCGGCAGCCCAGAACGACGGGATTTTCCCTTGCTTTGCCGTCAGGGCCTACGGCCCGAGGTTCCTCCAGCGGAGGAAGCTCGCCGCCGCCGCCAAATCCATCTTCTTTGCTCCCCCAAGCCCGGATCTCCCCGAGCCCGTATCGGACGCCTTCCCCTTCGATCTGGTCGCTGCACGTTGACCGGGGAAGTAGATCTTTCCCTTTTCTAATCCAATTGTTTGGTTCTGGTATCCAATCGGTTCGACAGATCGGAACCCAATAACGTCGAGAGCCGCCCCATAGGTTGGGGGTTAGGGTTAAGTCTTTCTGGTCTTTCTTCTTTCTTTTCTCTGTTTGTACTAATGAAATCGAGGAAGCATTTTAAAATGGAATTGTGTGTAGATCTGATGCTCGAAATGTAAAAAGAACTGTATGTAGATTTGCTAGAAACTGGCAGTGCCTCCATGATTATTAATTGCTTCACTGTTTCATTTGATGAACCGGACTTCATTACTCGTCAGTCTCGCTTAACTGCTAGCATACTTTTATTATGGGGCAATCATTGGCAACATCTTTGTATTGGGTCATAAAGACCAGCAGCTGCTATTACTGATTAGTAAGACTGTCTCTTCATACTGTTAGTGTTATCTTGGCGCATCTTTCCCTGACACGATTGCTTTTCTTTTACCTCCTGATGATGCAGTGTCTAACTCCTGATGTTAGTTCGTGGATCAAAGTAATATCTGCATAGAACCTTAAGGTTTTATCGTAAAAGAAATGAAAGAAAAGAGGATGATCATTTTGAGGGGATCAACCTTCTTAATTGAAGGAATTAATCAATAAAATATTATTTCAATTTGTTATGACAAATCTGAAGAGGTCGATCCTCTCGAAGTGATCAAAAAGATCGATCCTTTTGAAGTGATCATCTTTTTTTTTTTTCTTTTACGATAAAATTTTAGGGTGTTAGATTCTCCACGACCATAGTGAATGAGATATGGAAAGTGACGGAGTTACTTTGTATAATGATTCATTTCTTATAAGATCGTGAGCTGCAAGGGTTGCTGTTTATTATAAATGAGCGCAGGCAATCAATCATTAGATTTCTTTTAGTGAGGAAGAATGGGGTGTCAGCTGCAAAGGAGTAACAGAAGTCCCTTGGGTAAATGTTGCAGTATATATTATTCATTAGTCCCACTTACACCTTATTGAAGTAATGAGAATAGTATTGGGCAGAAGCATTTGATTAATGTCTATGGTGAATTATTACGGTCATTAAATGCATGCTTTCATATTAGAATTTTTTTATGGACGTGCAATGTTACCCTTAATTATTTAAAATTTTAATATTTTTAATCATATATTACATCGAGATATTTTATTATATCATGTCGATATGCTCCATATAACTTGATATATATTATATCAATAATTGATCGGTACACTGATATGAATCAATAAGACATTATGCTTTTGATAGTTGTTGACCACGTGAATACACCAAGAATACCCCTCTGGATTGTATTGTATGATGAGTAGGTTTATCTGTGCTGTGGGGGTAGAGCAAGTGTCCGCCTTCACGAATTCTTCGGGACTTACTGTGGTCTATATAATATGTACCAACGGATCCAATTGGGTATCAGAAATCAAATTAGTAGGATTGATGGATCCCAAATTCAAGTCCATGTGTGAGTCTTGTATGCTGTTTAATGAATACAAATTCAAAAAAGGTGATGATAAACCACTCATACATTTTTTCTTGAAATAAAATAAGAATGAAGACTGAATCATAACCAATCAAACAAACGCAAGAAGAGATTTCGTGATGGCATAAAATAAAAATCTGCATTGGACTAAGCTACAGAAAAATTCTGAGTCTCATACATAGGACTTGAAGGATGGATGACAATGAGACCAGCTATATATTTCCTCATGTTGGAGGACATGCATACCTAGATAAAAATGCACCATCCTCATCAAAAGAACAAATGTTACGTACTCTTCTCGACGGTGGTTTGCAAAATGTACGAAGCTTTATTTCGAACCTGAAAGAGACATAATAGGTTGAAGGTCAGTTATATATGTATATGATCTTCGATGCATAATAGTGTCTCCCACACTCCACGCACACACCTTTGATGCATATGATCTCCAATCCGTGCTTGTAATTTGGCTCGAGCAGTTGCGTAGAAATTTACACCACGTGTCAATAGCTACCGATTTTTCTTCACCCAGATGATGAAACGAGAGGAAATTCTCGGCTAAAACTAAGTAGATATATAACTTGAAGAAATCGCAATCTTTATCCTTCACATTGACTGACATCAGTACTTCCAGGATTTCTTTATAGTCGTTCACCTACACAAAATATATTTGGTTCATTCATAACAGATTCTGACATACGACTCCTGATAATTATATAAGCTTGTGCAGTGAACATATAATCTATACTAGCAATGCTAATCAACACATCCCTAAAGGTAGTTAAAGTGTTGCCAGGATATGCGAGGTGAGTTGAAGTGTGCATGCAAGTGTGTTAAATTTGGCAAGAATCAGGAGATAAACTGGAATCTGTCAAAGAAAACAATATATTTATCTTCTAATTTGTTAATACTGCTATTGCACGTGCATCCCCCATTTTAAGGAGAATGCCCATGGTCATTTAGATTCTCCAATCAGAACATCTGACAGACATCTGAGTACTGGATATGCAATGTTATATGTGAATCTATGAGCAACTTTAGCAAGAAACTGAAACATATTCAATTTGAAAGATTAGAATTAACCTTTATGTCAAAGCGCAGAGTCAGCAATTGTAGCGCGATTTGACTCCTGAGTTGCTTGCTACGGCCATTAGTCACAGAAATGCATTCCACAACCCTTAAACAATTAAGGTCCTTTGGGGTTCTGCAGTTCCAATAGATTAAATAGTCTACTTCAGATGATCTCAAACAACATATTTATGATTCAATGTATTAAACAAGCATATAAAGAGGCAATTAGTCAATCTGTCTATGATAATTAGTAAGAAACTTCTCTAGCACAATCATGAAACATACGTAATAGTATCGCAAACAAAAAATGGAGGTAGCAATAGGAACGAAGGTTTTCATTTGAAACATATATATATACCATCCATCAACAACACAATCCCCAATCTGCTATAGAAAGATGAAAAAGAAAAAAAAAATCAATTGAAAGCCATTGGAATAAAGTACCTTTGTGGTCTCCTATGTCACTGGAAATTGAAAGAGAAATAAAAAGGTATATATAGGTCTGCATAAGTATTAAGGACTTTAAATGGTACAGTGGCTCATGAGAATCAAAGAAGAATGACTAGATAAAGCCAATCGATATTAACAAGAAATTTTATAATGTATGCAACTGTGCTACTAGGTCTAAACTCATGTTGTGAAAGAATATCAAAGTCCATGATTAGGAATTTATTTTAGGGTAACATTGCACATCCATCGAAAAGCTCTAATATCAAACCATGGCATTTAATGACCGTAATAATTCACCATGGACATTAAGCAAATACTTCTGCCTAATACAATAAAAAAAATATTATTATCATTACATCAATAAGGTGCATGTTGGACTATGAATAATATAAACTGCAATATTTACCTGAAAGCAAGAGACTTTGCCACTCTTTTGCAGCTGACATCCCATTCTTCCTCACTAAAAAATCTAATGATTGATTGCATGCCCTCATTTATAATAAATAGCAAGCCCTGAAGCTCACGATCTAACGAGAAGTGAATAATTATGCAAAGTAGCTCCTCTGCTTCTGATATAGAGAAGATGGATCGGGGACTTCTGTAGCAGGGAAAGAATATGAATATCCATGTGTGAAGTTATGAGAACCATGAATGAGATATAACAATCAGTAATTTGTGTGCTGGCAACATGCCTGCACCATACATGGGTTCGTGAGCATTTACCATGCTCATACAGAACCACGTTACTAGGCCCGTGACCATCACGTGTGTGGTGTGGAATGTGTTCAGCACATGGCTTGCTGATACCTCATTGAAAATCGAATTTCAACAACAAAGATATTGGACAATTAGGCTATGGTGTATTAGGATGATCACAATTACCTGATCTGACAACACGCAGATATTACTTTGATCCACGAACTAATATTTTCAGGCGGCCCTTCAGGTTTATCTGACAAATGTAACAAAAGGAGTTAAGACACTGCATCATTGGGAGGTACAAGAAAAGCAATCGTGTCACCCTTCTTAAGTAAGCCTCAGGTAAAGATGTGTCAAGATAACACTAATAGTATGAAGAGATAGTTTTACTAATCAGTAATAGCAGATACTGGTCTTTCTCAGCAACTACAAGATCTTGCCAATGATTGCCCTATAATAAAAGTATGATAGCAGTTAAACTAGACTGATGAGTAATGAAGTCCAGTTCATCAAATGAAACAGTGAAGCAATTAATAATCATGTAGGCACTGCCAATTTCTAGCAAACATCAGGACAAAGAAATTAAGGCAACAAAGTTATCTTTTTAAATTCCTTATATTAAGGAAATAAAGTTAAAAAAGAGAGAATTTCTAGCACAACCTATTCATGCAGATTTGAGCTTTTCAGGAAAAAGAAATAGCAATACTGGTAATGATATGAAGTGATTGAAAGAGGCGCTCGGGCGAGGCGAGGCGAGGCCCGAGCGCCTCGCTAATGTCCCAGGTGGCACGCTTCAAACAGGCGCCGCCTGGGCGCTCGCCTGAGCCCAGGCGCTGGGCGCTTCGGGCGAGCGCCTGGGTAAACCAAGTGACCGAACCAGGATTTTAGGTCTGGTTCGGTCTTGGTTCGGTTGTTAGTTGGTTCAATCGAACCAACTAAACCGATATAACCCTTACCTAACCCTAACCCGCTGCCGCTGCCGCTCCCGATCTCGCTGCTCGTCGCTCCTGCTCCTGCTTCCGCTACTCGTCGCTGTCGCTGC